ATTCCTGTTCCTGTCTCAGACCTACACGGTGCGGTCCCTCTCAACCCTTCCCTGATGCAAAGCTGGAAAAAATGGTGGGTGCTGCGACCCGAACCCAGGTCCTCTGCAAAGAGAGCCACTGCTCTTACCTCCAAAACACCTCTCTAACCTAAAATCGTATTACTTTGGTTCCATGTGCATGAGTATTTGCCTGCACGTATGTATGTTCATCACGTGTGTGCAGGAGCCCCCAAAGGCCAGAAAGGGGTATCCGATTCCATGGAATTGGAGTCACACAGGATTATAAGCCCCTTTGTGGGTGCTGAGAACTGAAAACCCAGCTCCTCTGCAAGAGCAGTCAGTGTCTTAACCTCTGAGCCCTCTCTTCAGCCCTAGTTGGCTTTATTTCTGCCAAAATGCCAAAGCTTGCCAGTTCTTTTTTTCTTAAGTAATTTGTTTAGCTTTATTTCATGTGCATTGGTATGAAGGTTTCAGATCCCCTGGAACTGCAGTTACAGACAGTTGTGAGCTGTCATGCTGGTGCTGGGAATCGAACCCCAGGCCTCTGGAAGAGCAGCCAGTGCTCTTAAGTGCCAAGCCATCTCTCCAGCCCCCAAAACTTGCCAGTTCTTAGTCTTGACAACCCAGACTCCCGCACAGAGTAGGTAGTTAGTGAATTTATATCGAAAGAGTAAATCAACAAGTGCATGGTGAACACATCTGTCCATGTGTGGTCCTGGATGCTATGAGCCACAGGATGGAACATGCTCCTTAGTAGACAGTGTCCCTGGGACAGGAACACCATCTACACGGCTGAAACAGTTTTCCCACTATGGACCCTCCCAGGAAGAGTTGTGATGGATCGTACAGAGACATTTCCTCAGACAAGGCACACAGGTCCATGCATTATTTGTGTGGGATTTCTGAGAGTTTGTAGTTGAACTCGTGTGGGATACTAATGTCACATAAATAGGTAAATAACCGATCTTAAGGTAAGGGAGAGGGAAGTCTGAATTATAATCAGAATTCAAAGAAGGGAGATCAGTGGGGCTGGACCAGTCCAGAAAACTACACTGGAGAAGAAGAACTTGACCTTGGCAGAGAGGACAGGTGTGTGTGTGTGTGTGTGTGTGTGTGTGTGTGTGTGTGTGTGTGCGCGCGCGCGCGCATGCGCGCATGCGCTTGGGATGATTTTCTGAGCCCTGCTTCATCTGGGTCATCCCAGTGCTATTGTCCAGATATATTCCCAAGTTCTCTTTCCATTTTCTTCCCCTCAGCTGCAAGGTGGGGCGGGGGATGGGGGCAAATCTTTCATCAGCATTAGCGAGGAGAAGGGCCCACAAAGGGGAGCACAATGTAAGAGTCGCTGGGGTCACTGGGCTCTGTTCTGGGGTGGTTAGCGCTGCTAGGCTGCACAGGAGATGGCAGTTTGCTGCTTCAGGTGTCCCTTGGGGGAATCAGCTGAGGAGCGCTAATCCTGAGTGAAACCCTCTTGATTACAAAGGAAGGAGGGACAAGGCCGTATCATTTAACCGCTGAAACGCCCAGTGAAACACAAAGCAGCATTAGTGTTCTCTGCCTGCAGTGCCGAGGTTTAAGCAGTTAATCTCATTTTCGCTGAATGGCATGTTCATTACAGCAAATAAGTAGGTAATGTGTGGCATTACTAAAGAAGAAAGATGAATCAAGCCAGCTCTGGGCATCGTGTCCATATCTTTCTAATCGTCTGCTATAACTTGGTATTTTTCACCAGGTGGATCTAATCAACACTCGCTTAGCAGAGATAAGGTGAGGGGACTCTGAGAAGTATTGCACCTGATTGAGGACGCTAGTTTTACGTGCAACAGCACACGGTACCTGGCAGTCTCTGAAGCCTGCAATTTTTGGTGCAGAAGGGAAAAGCTCCCTAATGCAAGGTAGCATATCCTGCTTTCTATTGCAAAGCTACATTACTGCTGTTTATGCGTTTCATGGCAGCTGAAGGCCTTATTCAAGAACCCTAAACATCAGCTGTTCTCATCCTGTGGGTCTCCCCCTTTGGGGTTGAATATCAGAGATCCCACATATCAAATATTTACATTGCGATTCATAACAGTAGCAAAGTTACAGTTAGGAGGCAGCAGTGAAATAATTTTATGGCTGAGGGTCACCACAACATGATGACCTGCGTTAGAGGGTCACAGCATTAGACAAGTTTGATGGGAGACGTCATTCTGTAAATATGTTTCTCTTATTAATGAATAAAGCCCTGTTGGCCCATAGGAGAGCAAGATAGGCAGGACTAGGAGACAAGGAAGATCTGGGGACAGGTAATAAGAGATTCAACATGGAGGACGGAGAGAGCAGAACTCCGGACCCTCTCTCCGGTAAGTCAAGACCACATGAAAATAGTTAGATTAATAGAAATGGATTAATATTTAAGACAGAGCTAGCCAATAAGAAATGCTAGTAACAGGCCAACAGCTTTATATCTAAAACAGTGTCTCTGTGTGTTATTTGGGGCTGGTGGGACCAGGCTGGTGGTAACCAGGCAGGTGGGAACCATTGTTACACGAACCTGCTATACACAGACATTTCGCAGCATAATACATTTGAGCAATGATACATTGTCATCTTCCTTCAAAGAACCGCTACACTGATTCCAAATCCATTTACCCGACTCATGGCACAACAGACAAGGGAGGTAAAGTCCCCAAAGTGGAGAGTGTTATTGTGTAGCCGGGAGATAACCTAATCACAAAGATAAACACTCTGGGGAGCAGTGTATCAAGAGCCAAAGCCCAGCAGGCAGGAGAGAGGCAGGCAGATGGAGAGATGGCACCATGAGACCCCATTGCAAACAAGAAAAAGAAAGAAAAAGCCCAGCTGTGTGGGGCAATTTGTGCAGAGTGTAACTCAAGGGAAACCACCGGCAGGTGCTTCTGGGGCATTGCTGAGCACTGTTGGGTGCTTACATAGTATTTGTATATTTAATCTTGCTTAATAATAATCTCCATCATTACCTCTCATTTCTTTTCTTTAAGACAGATTCTCACTATGTAGTCCTGGAGCTCACTTTGTAGACCAGGCTAGCCTTGAACTCTCAGAGATTCTCCTGACACTGCCTCCCAAGAGCTGGGATTAAAGGCCCGTGACACCATGCTAGTATTATCTCCCATTTCACAGATGTGGAAACTAAGGCTCAGAGAACTAAGTTGTTTGGCTAAATAAAGAGGAAAGTGGGAGTTTAAAGTTAGGTGTGATTTAAAAGTTTTTGTTTTAATTTCCCCCCCAATATGGCAATTTGCATCCTTTAGAAATATAAGGGAAAGTAGGGTGTTTGTGGCGCACGCCTTTAATCCCAGCACTCGGCTGAGGCAGATGGATCTTTGGGAGTTTGAGGCCAACCTGGTCTACAGAGTGAGTTCCAGGACAGGCTCCAAAACAATACAGAGAAACCCTGCCTCGAAAAAACAAAACAAAATAAACAAAAAGAAATATAAGGGAAGGAGTGGGGAGGTAGAGAGATGGCTCAGCAGTTAAGAGCACTGACTGATTACCCAGAGGACCTGAGTTTGGCTCCTGGCACCCACACTGAGCAGCTCCAGGGGTCTATTGACTTTTATCTCCTTAGGCACCTGTACTCATCTGCACATATCCACGTGCAAGCACACACACACACACACACACACACACACACACACACAATTAAAAATAAAAAAATAAAAGTAAGTTCTTAAAATTTTTAAGTAGATTATTTTATGTTTGGCCCGTATGTATTTATGTGCACCATATGTATACTTGGAGCCAGCTGAGGTCAGAAGGGCATCAAATCCTTTAGAACCAGAGTTACAGGTGGCTATGAGCCACCATGTGGATGCTGGGAACTGAACCACAGTCCTCTCTGCAAGAGCAACACGCACTCTTAACCACCGAGCCCCGCCTCCAGCTCTAAATTAATTAATTCATTCATCTATTCTTTCCTTCTTCCCCCTCCTTCCTTTCTAATATGAAGGGGACCTGGGGAGATGGCTCAGTGGCTAAGACATCTGGCTCTAAGGTAAAAAACACAGAAGTTCACGTGCTCAGCACACGTGGAAGGGACAGTCTTGGTTCCCCATGCTCCAGTAGATGGTCCTACATCCATGCGCACCCTGGCAGCTCCACACGGACTCACTGGGTTCTGGGGAGGAAAAGTGAGTAAAGGACACTGGGAGGGGAAAGTGTGGGAGGGTGCAGAAGAGGTAACAGGGGGTGGATTTGATCAAAACAGATAGATGCATTTATGAAAGTCTCAATTTAAAGATGTCTGTTAGGGCCAGCGAGATGGCCACCACACCTGATGCCCTGACTTCAATGTCCAGACCCCACATGGTGGGGGAAGACCTACAAGTTGTCTTCTAGCCTACATGCATGCCGTGGTACCTGCCCCCACCCCCGGAAAAAACAGACTTTTTAAAAAGTACATTAAAAAAATAAAAATAATTAAAGTACAGCACTTCCAAGAAACATGAGAGAAAACTGGCTATAAAAAGGGTGACATTTACCAACTAAATTCTCAGGGTATTCACCGACTTAGAGCTGTACCCCAGGGCTAGAGTGGGGCTTTAGTTATGGAGAACTTGCTTGGCACACCCAAGGCCTCAAGCTCAACCTTCATTTGCCACTACATGGAGTTTAGAAAATGCTACATACCTCTCGAATCCAGCACCAAAAAATTCCAAGGTATCCTTTATTTGCAGTAAAATTATTAATTAGACAAGTAACAAAACTCAAAACTAGAAAAGCTAAGGAATGATGTTACATCTCAAGTTGTTTGAAGGAATTAACCGGATTATAGTTGGTTGTAGTGGTGTGTGCCTTTAATCCCAGCACTCGGGAGGCAGAGTCAGACAGATCTCTGTGAGGTCAAGGCCACCCTGTCTATAGAGTGAGTTCCAGGACAGTCAGGGCTACACAGAGAGACCCTGTCTCAATAACAACAACAACAACAATAATAATTCAATTACAGCACTTCAATTTCTTCATTATTTCCTTTATTGTAATGCATAAGATAAAAGGTCTTCTTGTGCATACACGCCTCGTGGGTCTCAGGATTCAGAACTATGTACACCTTCCACATGACCATAAGATGAAGCTCTTCTGCACTTCCATACAGCACTTAACATATGTTTTTCAAATCTATTTCTGATACAACTTGCAGAGAGCAGAGACCTCAGGAGAGAACGGCAAAGGCTGCGCGCTCATTAGCTTTTTTATCCAAAAGCAACGGTTTGCGCACACACACACACAGTGTTGAAAGGCGCTCAAGGAGTCGCTGCTCAATTCGAATATGTCCCTTTGCTAACTCTGCACACGAAAACCTGTTTTATCGGCATTGATGAAGATTGCTTTCATTGGCCCTCAACCACGGGCTTCAAATGCAGACCGTGCCCTTAGTGACAGACCAGGGAAAATGACAGCCCACACAGCACATCGACCAGAAGAAAAGCTGGTCCGAGTGTCGCCTGATCGTCACACCTCCAAGGGTGAGCCTGCTCTCACACTGCATATGTGGTAAAGATACAAAAACACAAACACTCCTGTCTCCTTCCAGAGCGTATTGCTGTCTGTGAAGGGAAGGGAACCACACTTTGAGTAGTCAGCCAGAGGAGCCTCCATATTTACAACCTTTAAAAGAAATCCTGCTCCTACCGAGAAACAGAGAATTGACGAACAAAACCATCAACTCCTACATCCTGAGGAATACATAGAACCGAATGATCCTGAGACAAATCACTGTTTTAAAGTTGCTGGAAGTATCTCAACGTAGATTTGTTTTCTGACAGGGAAATGTGTAATTTCATTTCGGCCATATCGATTCCGTCATTTACATAACTGAAGTGCTCCCTGTGGGAGACGGTCATCCAGCTCCCCGCCAATATAAACTATGCAGGGCCTTTCTCAGTGACCACCGGCCCTCATCCCTGTCCTCTCCTGTGGTCCTTTCATCTCTCCCAACCCTGCAAACACTGCAAGATGAAATTTTCGTTAAAATCCAAACACAGTGTGACACACCTGTGCTACATTTCATTTAAAGAATAAGTTACAAGTCGCCAAATAACTTAATGAAATTCACAATGCAAATCCATGGCATAAAATGAAGCCATTGTATCCTGAAGCTAATGAAGCAGTCCAGTGACTTTTAAATTACTTATGAAATAAAGGCAAAAATAAGATGTAAAATAATATCTATAAAAGTCAAGTAAGAAAACCAGTTACCATAAATCTTTTAACAAAGATAAATGTACAGTGTAGCTCACCATTCCTGAAAATTGTTAAGGAGGTTTATCATTAGTGGCTTCAAGAATGACTTCAGGGAAACTAGAGAGTACAGTATCTTAACGTATGATATATTAAATATTTATATATATACATAAATGATAATACTGGCAAGGGGAAGTCTTTAAGTTAATTCTTGGGCCTGCTACCATTTGGCAAGTATATTTCCATCTCCAAGTTGGCTATCAGTGACTAATGTGTAAATGGCAATCTTCAGCTGCTTGTGTTTTGTGTACTTGTGTCAACGAGGAGATATCAGAAGTGTCAAGTAGTCGTATGCCAGCAAAAACAGAGTCCTCGCTTGTCACCCTAACACATATACCTTAAAATATGTAACAGTGCCATGTCTAAAAATTAGAAATACAGAAATCTTTAAAAATGGGTGGGCAGGAAAAGTGAATTTGAAGATTGTCATTCAGATAAATTACAGATCTGCAGCCCGGACGTTTCACGAGAAGATGGTCTGTCAGATCTTGGCTCATCTTCTTCCTGACCCTGCGGTGGGCCAGCTGCTCTCTCACGAGACCGGGAGGTCGAGCCCCATGTTGCAGGTTTCAGGTGGAATTCTCTTGAATGTTGGCGAAACTGGTACTTGACTTGAGACGTTTGGCTGGGGAGACACAAGTACCTACTTTCAACTCAGATGCTCTCACGGTCTTATCCAGCACCTGCACGCAAAACACTGTGTTTGTCTGCTCATTGGCTGAATCTGACCTGATCCAGTTTCCTTAGGATTAAACCTGATGTGATTTTTTTTTTCTTTCTTTATGAACAGCAAAAAAAATTAAGCTAAGTAGAAATTACCCAATGGCTCTGTTTAAAAAAAAAAAAAAAAAAAAGCGGTACGGAATAAAACAGGCATTTACACCTCCAACACTGCAATCATAAAGAAAACCACAAGAAAAGTCGGAGCTACACATCTCACTCCAAGCACCCTCAAAAGACAGAGGCGTCTATAGCTTCTGCAGCACGTTTCATGAAGCCTGAGGGATTTCTCCTAAGATCTAGTAGGACAAGACGACACCCGCTTACTGAATACCATACACTGACGGAATCAGTGCGGACCGTGGCACAAGGAAAGGAAGGAAGAGTGTGTGTACATAAAGGAGGAACATTTCCTCTATTTTGGGCGGTGGTGGCGCACGCCTTCAACCCCAGCACTCGGGAGGCAGAGGCAGGCGGATCTCTGTGAGTTCCAGGCCAGCCTGGTCTACAGAGCAAGTTCCAGGACAGGCTCCAAAGCTACACAGAGAAACCAGAAAGAAAAAGAAACCTGAGTTGTGTGTCACAAATACACCCACAAATATACACACTGTTAAGAAATTGTGTGCCAAGCAGCCTGACTACGAGGCTCAAGGGACTAAGCCACCAGTTTAAACCAGCCATGGCTGCCTGGCTAGGCAGGGTTGTTGTGAACAGCTGAGCGCAAACCTTTCTCATGCTGTAGAAGAGGAAACCCAAACCCGCAGTGCCACATTTGGGGTGCCGCATGCTGAGAGCCGAGGTTTGCGGCCAAGAGCAGGGCTGCTCCCGTGCCCTGTGTAAGCCCTGCACCTAAGTCTCACGGTCAAAGACAGGGACAATAGCCCTGGCATGGCTTCCTGGACCAGTGGGCCGCTTTTAAGTGTGCTAAGCCTGGGCTGGATTTGGAAAGGGAATGTGTAGCTCAGGTTTTTGTTTTGGCTTGGTCTCTACTTACTTCACTAATCACTTCTCACTAATTATCAAATTACTTAATAAAGTGGCAAGGAATAAAGTAAGACCAGGAAACCCAGAGTGCCTGAAGCTTGCTGGCCTCTCTAGTCTAGTTGGTAAGTCCTCACCTCTTCTAAACTCCTACCCAAAGGACCACCTGTCAGTGCATTCCAATGCCCCTAACTCTGTGATGCGGTCACACTCTGCACAGCTGTGATGACTGGGTGGGGGCCATCACACTGAGGGGATGATCAGGTGAGGGCCGTCACGCTCTGAGGTAATGGTGGGTGAGGGCCATCATGATGAGGCACGCAGTGTGAGAGCTGAATTCCATTACAGTGCATTGTGATTAACAGCCTGTAACTGTTTATCGAACAGCAGCACAGTGAAAAGTAAATGAGCCAGGCATCATGGGACAGACCCGCAAGCCCAGCATTTGGGAAGCTGAGGCAGGGGGACTGCCATGAGTTCAAAGTCAGCCTGTGTGCACCCCCTCTCTCCCTCCCTGCCTCACCCCCTCCCTCCCTCAATCTGCTCTGATTCAGTTTCCCTCACTGTGTTTTCTCTACTCTCTATCCCCTGCTGTTCTTGTTCTGATGAACCTTACTACGATCCAGTCAAGGGAGACAAACCTGCCTGGCAGAACAAGCAAATGAACGTTAAGTAACCTAAATTATTCACCTAACACTAGCTTCTTGACTGAGCGTCACCTAGGGCTAGCAAGACGGCTTGGCAGGTAAGGGCGCTTGCCACGCTGTTTCTAAAACAGATCTCTATTTTTTCCTACTTTATGATGCTGAATGCTGTGTACAGGGTCTTGTGCATAAATTAGTGCTGCAACACTGCACTCTGAACTCCTTAACCTAAGTCTTCCAAGTGATAGGCTGTTAACTAAATAGGTGAATGTAGGAGGGAACTTACGTAGGATGAGTTTGCGTTTCTTTTGCTCCGAATGAAGAAAGCTACTAAGGTAGAAGACAACGGGCAGAAAGAGGATGAACACAGAAACAGCGACTACAGACACCGTGTCACTGCAGGTGACTGAGCAGTTGAAGGTTCGACTCCAAAGCTTTCGAGTAATGTTCATCTGGAAAAATGTATATTATATTATTATCTGATATTACACTTATCTGTGATATGTATTTATGTATCCAGACAGCTTTTAAAGCAGCCTTAAAAATCTACTGAGAACACTTTCTTCTGCCAGGGAAAGAAGCTGACTTTACAATTAGTCACTGTATAAAACTTATTCCCAAACAAAAACATCATACTCTAAACACATAATAACCAAGTTATGCTAGAATGCCAACCATTTTATCTCCCAGAGGATGTGTAGTTATAAAGATAGAGCTAAGATTCTGTTTCCTTGTGTAAAGTTTATTTATTGCTGGGGGCCTGCTATTAACCAAGTACAATGTCCTATGACGGAGATATATGGACCCAAAGCCCCATTGGGGGTTTTACTTCCTGAGTACCACTGTTTCGGTTCAGCTCTCTCTAGGATGGTTTGATATTCACACTCGTTCTTAACAAGTAAGCTTAGCCATCTTGATCTTGAGTTCTCTACTTTGAGTCAATGATTTATTTAAAAACAAAACAAAGCAAATTCTCAAGCATCATGTTGCCTGGGGGCATGACTGCCACCTAGTGGTGCTCTGTGAAAAGACAAGCTATACTGGATTCCCCAACATTCACTCTATCTACACACAGTTTCAGAAGCAGCATGAAACACCATCCTGGGCACGGTGGCGCGTGCCAGTAATCCCAGTACTAAGGAGATGAGGCAGGAGGATCACTTCAAGTTCAACGCTGGCCTGGGCTTCACAATGAGACTTCCTTTTAAAAACAAAAGTGTGCACACACACACACACACACACACACACACACACACACACTATCCTGCTCATTGTCCTGTCTACTAAACAATGAATTAAGAAACACCAGGATGGGCTGGAGAGATAGCTCAGAGGTTAAGAGCCCTGGCTGCTCTTCCAGAGAACCTGAGTTCAATTCCCAGCACCCACACGGTGGCTCACAGCCATCTGTAATGAGATCTGGCGCCCTCTTCTGGCCTTCATGGACACGTGCAGACAGAATGCTGTATTCATTATAAATAAATCTTTTTTAAAAAAAGAAAAAAGGAACCCTAGGTCAAACTGGGCAGGGGTGGTGCCCACCTTTAATCCCAGCACTCAGAAGGCAGAGACATGCAGATCTCTGTGAGCTTGAGGTCAGCCTGGTCTACAGAAGCGAATTCTAGGATAGCCAGAACTGTTACACCCAAAAAACTTTGATTCTAAAAACAAAAACAAAAAGGAAAGAGACATTTGGTCCTAGCCCTCAGGGGTCATATTTCAGTGTGGGGACAGAGCATGAGAAATGTTTTCGGATAATCACATATGAAAAGAAATTAATACAAGGCCAGACGGTGGTGTCGAACACCTTTAATCCCAGCACTCAGAGTGCAGAGTCAGGCAGATCTTGGTGAGTTTGAGGCCAGCCTGGTCAACAGAGCGAGTTCCAGGACAGGCTCCAAAGCTACACAGAGAAACGCTATCTCAAAAAATGAAAAAAAAAAAAAAAAAACAACAACAACAAAAACAAAAACTAAGTAAATGAGATCTTCTAAAACCAGTGCAGTAAAACCTAAAACCTCTGTAATCAGCACCAGCTGTACAAGGAACGGAAACGTAAAACCACGCCCACTTTCTACTTTAAGATCAAAGTGTGCCAAATTAACGCATCCATGAGGGGCCTGGCTGATGTCTGACTGACACTGACTGGCTGATGCTGCTCTGACACTGATGGACGGAACCCATCACTTTGTAAGTACTGTAGTTCCTTCTGGTCGAAGGCGCCATGCACATGTTCCAGCGCACCCCCAAAGGAATGATCACACCACACACACACACACACACCACACACACACACAGCCACTGAAACTGTGAACCACGCCAGCGCCAGCAGTGAGCTCTTACCGCGTCCTCCACATCGATGCATAGGTGCGTTCCGGGCTCAGCCTTATTCTCAAGCCCATTCCTTTTCTGCATTTCAGTATACACGGTGCTCAGGTTTCTGTAAGCGTCGATACAGTTTCTGCACACTTCAGAGTAATTTTTTGGTGGGGGGAGACTGTGTGTGCGCCCCTAAAAGGACAAGGGCAGATGTCAGGCACACAGTACATGTTGCTCACGCTATCTCTGCATGCCGATCATCTGACACCCTCTCCCTCCTAGCCCGGGTGACAAAGGACTGGACTGAACCCAGAAATAAACCCACATAGCCACGGCCACCGGACAGACGCGACGACAGCAGCGCGCCCTCTTTAACAAATGGTTCAGGGAAATTGGACCTCCAATTGTCAAGGCTGAAACTCGCCCTCGCCCTGACAAAAATCGACTAAAAAAAAAAAAAAAAAAAAAAAAAAAAAAAATGGACCAAAGACCTTAACTTAAGACCTGAACCTTTGAAACTAATAGAGGGAAATGTGCAGAAAACATAAAGATGTAAGACTAGGCAATGAATCCAGCTGATGGCTGGGAGGTAGGGGTGAGGGGGTAAGGGAGCTTGCTGTTAAGCCTGAAGACCCAAGTACAGTCCTTGGAACCCATACGCAAACCATCCTCCGACCTTCACATGAACCCCCAAGTAAATATATGAAAACAATTCTTGGGCGGATGGGAGGGAGGGAGGGAGGGAGGGAGGAGGGAGGCAGGGAGAGAGGGAGGAAGGGAGGGAGGGAGGGAGGTGGGGTAGTGGTGGTGCCCACCTATAATCCCAGCACTCAGGAGGAACTCTGAGAGTTCTAGGCTAGCCTGGTCTACAGAGTAAGTTCCAGGATAGCCAAGGCTACACAGTGAAACCCTGTCTTAAAAAAAAAAAAAAAAAAAAAAAAAACAAAACAAACAAAAAGAACAGAAAACAAAACAAAACAAAAACCAACCAACTAAACAAAAAAGTCTAATAAGCATGAAGTCACAAATCAACTTTGGGGGTCTGCAAAGCCCTGCCCTGCAAAGGTGCGAGTTTGGAGAGGGAAGAGGAGACGTGCAGGATGGAAGAGACTGGCAGCTGTTCCCCTGACATCTCTGTAGGCAGACGGTGCAAGAGACACATACAGAACTGGAGTCCCTGAACTCTACAGGAACTAATAGTCCAGCCAACAGATGGACAGATGGACTGACATACCTCAAAAGAAATGCAAGTGGCTTTAAATGCATGAAAATATGACCTTGGGGCAAATGCAAATCAAAGCCACTACTCCACGCAATCACATTGGGATCATCAGGAGAACACACACACACACACACCCCTTCGATGCGGCCACCTGCCCGCTTTCCTGGTCACTCGGAAAAGCCTGACTGCCCTTCTCCTATCTCTTCTCTAACATGCTTGGGAGTCCCCAGCATCTTGGGCTCCCTCACTGTTGCTCAAAGCCTCCCTCCCTCCCTACCATGTGGCTGCTGGTCCTCCCTGAGTCTGCCCTCCATCACAGTTTAAATGTCATAGCTTTCTTTCCTGTTCTCACAAAGATCTGTCTGCCTCTGCCTCCACACCCCAGCTGGAATGAATTGTGTGTGTGTGTGTGTGTGTGTGTGTGTGTGTGTGTGAAAGAGAGAGACAGAGAGAGAGAGAGAGAGAGAGAGAGAGAGAGAGAGAGAGGTTTGAAGTAAGGGAAATAATCTGGAGGAGGCAGAGGACTACAGTATGAATGTTTCTAGCCTGGTAGGGTCCCGCCGCCTTTGAGCCCCAAATAACACACACAAAGGCTTATATCAATTACTAAACTGTTGGCTGGTGGCTTGGGTTCCTATTGGCCAGCTCCCTTTTAATTATTAACCCATTTCTATTCATCTGTTTTTCCACGTGGTCTTGGCTTACCGGAGAATACCCAGACCAACTGTTACTCCTTTGGCGGCCTACATGGCAACTGTGCTCTGCCTACCTTTCCCAGAATTCTCCTCGTCTCCTAGACCCGCCTGCTCCCTGCCTCTGTTGGCCACAGTGTTTTATTCATTAACCAATAAGAGAAACACATACACAGAGGACCATCAGAGGACCAACAGGAGGTGGAAGAGAGACAGGGAAGGTCATGGGACATGTGAGCACCATCAAAGCACAGCTTATATACATGTAAGAAAATAATAATGTCATAATATTAATGCATACAATTAATAACATTAATATAACAAGGGAAAGAAGAAATGCATAAAAGTCATTGTCAACGTCAGGAGAAAATAGTGATGATGATGATCTGTGTTGAGGATGCTAGACCATCTGGGTGATGAGCCTTGAGGATTTGAGGCACAGGGCAAGGGTTTCTAGAACTTTCTAGAAGAGATGCCCGGTCTGTGGGCACAAGACAAAGGTATCTAGCACTTTCTAGGTGTCTCTTACTCTTGAAAACCACTACACGGCCTCTGATGAATGCTAAGGGAAGGTCTAAGTGGGCTCTGGGAACTGAACCCAGGTCCTCTGCAAGCGTAGCCAGTGCTCTTAGTTACTGAGCTATCTCTCCCGCCCCTGTTTTCTTTTAAGATTTATTATTATTATTTTGTTTTGTTTGTTTTTCAAGACAGGGTGTCTCTGTGGAACAGCCAAGTCTGTCCTGGAACTCGATTTGCAGACCAGGATCCACCTGCCTCTGCTTCCCGAGTGCTGGGATTAACGGGCGTGTGCCACCACACCTAGCTTTTTCAGCCATCTCTCCAACCCTTTACTTCCTTTCCTTTTTCTTCCTTTCTTTTCTTTTTTAAGACAGTCTCACTGTGTAGCCCCGGCTGGCCTGGAACTGGCTTTGTGGACTGGCAGCCTTGAACTCTCAGAGGTTCACCTGCCTGCCAGCCAACCGCTGGACAGACGCCACCACACTTGGTCCTGAGCTAAGTATTAGTATTTCCAAGTGGAAAAATCTAATTCCTTTATGAGTCCAAATAAATAAGGAAATGTAATGCTGTAAAAAGTTAGAATTAAATATTAAGTTTATATGGCTTACCTGAAGGTTGTGCTCAAAGCAGGCCAAAGTCTTGTTAAATAGGCTGAGGAAATACTCCGTGTTATCTGACAAACCCTCACTGTTGTTTGTCAAGCAATCTGTAAAGACAACGACACAGACAAAGCCCCGGTATAGTAAGAGGTCAAGGTAACGTTGCATGTGGTCACTCATCACTCAGTGACTGTTTCAGCTTCGCTCTGCGGTTACTCCTCATATAAACCAGCATGAACACTTCCACACAACCCAAGTTTCCGGATACATAAGGCTTTTGGCCCTTTTAGTTTCCAAACGTGTTCTTTTTTTTTTTTTAAACTTTTCATGAAGGTCTTAAAACAGTTGCACATTCTCTTCTTACAAAAACAAATGAGGAACTTTTCACCTTGCATTAACTCTGCCTGGATCCTGTCTTTTTGCCTTGGTGTCAATCAAACTCAGTGGCTCTTTCCTCTTCTAAGCTCACAGAGCCACTGACTGTCCCTAGCAGGAGAACCTTTTTCATTTATTCTTCTGAGTCAACCATGCGCTGGGGGCTGGGAGAACAGGCTGATGGGAGTTCTGTCTAAAAGCCTGGTAGAAGCTTCCTAAAGTCTGGGGGGAAACCAAAAACACAGAACTGTTTCGTGTGTGTTTGCAAACCCTGTATCTGCGGCGTTTGCCCACAGCCAGCTGCCCTTGCTTAGCATGACCTTGGGTTCTTCTATTCCCTCCACTTCCTGTGAAGAGGCAAGCTGTTAATGCTTTTCCTTACATTTATTTGTTTGCTTGTTTTGTACATGCCACAGGGCCAGAAGACAGCTCCCAGGACGTGGGTCCTAGAGAGCAAATGCAGGCTGTGAGGTGGGTCAAGCAGCCTTACCCACGGGCTCGGTGGCCTGGCTTCACATCCCAGAACCGGGAGCGGGCCATTTCCGTCTCTCTTCCTTCAATCTCGACTCTCTACCCTCCACATGCCCACAAACACTGCCGTCTGCTTTCTATACTCCAACTCCGCTTCTAAAACACCACTGAAAACATTCCTAACTTATAATGACATGACTTGACTCAAATACATTACTTCCTGATTTCAGAGTCATGAAACAACCCTTGTAGGTGCCCAGTAATTAGTCCAAAGGGGTTTTTCAAACATCTATTCCCTAGTGCCTGGCACACTTCCTGCCTTCTTAATTTTAACACACAGTTTTATTTTGCATTCGCTGGACTTAGAGAGTCAGGGTCATCCAGAGGGAGTGAAGACACCCCCCAGGGAGCTATGGCTGTGACATGGGGAGAAGGGACAGCGTGAAGAGAATTGAGTGGACAGGCACCAGGCCAAGCCACAGAGGACGGCTCACACGCAACAACCGTCGCATCCCAAAAGCTCACGCCGCTGAATAGTATGTCGTTCGTGTGTTTATGCCTATGACACGGAAACCCATTTCATTACTGTAGTGAGTCTATGAGGCAAGAACTATTATCTCCGTTTCTTAAATAAGCAGAAGGGAAAAGCCTGGCCACACAAGCCTGGCCATTGGAGTTGGATTCCTGGATGTCATGGTGGACACAAGAACTGAGCCCTGAGAGTTGCCCTGTGACCTCCGAGGGTGCCCCACGACCTCCAGGGGTGCCCTGTGGTACACACACAGCTCAAAACAATGAACAAACTGTAGAAACTGGGCCGGAGAGATGGCCCAGCAGTTGAGGCCATTTGCGGCCCTTGCAGAGGACCTGGGTTTGGTTCCCAGCACCTACATGGAGATTACCATTGTGACTCCTTCCAGAGGATCCAATACCCTCTTCTGGTGTCCTCTGGCATCAGGTACATGCATGTGGTATACAGTCATACATGCAGACAAAGCACTTGTACACATGAAATTTTTTTAAATCCCTAAAAAAATATTTCCTTTTAAATTTTGAGGCAGGGTCTTAAACTATGTAGCATTTGCTGGCCTGGAACTCATCATGTAATCCAGGCTTGTCTACAAATTTATAGACGTCCACCTGCTTCTGCCTCCTAAGTGCTGGGATTAAAAATGTGTGTCACCACGCCTAGCAAATAGTTAAAATTTGAAAATAAAAAGTAAAAATAGGGAACAGTTTAGAGAAATGAAGGAGCCTGTCCAAGGACACAAAACTGATACATAGAAGGCTGGATTTTACAATCAGTCTGGCCGTTGAGCCATCACTCTCAGACAATGCAAGGTAACACATTTGCATGCATGTGAGCACACACACACACACACACACACACACACACACACACTGTTGCAGCAGTGAACATGCACAGGCCCTCTTGGTGAGCCTGTCCTAGATGTGTGGCCTCTCTGAACCCCTGAATCTACAGTCTCTGAAGTTTATCTTCTCAAGAATATAAGTCTAGCTCTAGTCGGTCATCAATCCCTTTACCAGTGAGCACACTAAGCCAGAGGAAGGTACACTCCAAGACTTACTTACAAGTCAGTGAGGTGCGGAAATGTCAGAAGACCTTCCACAAGCCTGTATTTCCTTAAGCTCAGCAGTCTTCTCTACTAATTAAGCACTCATTACTCCGTGTGTCAGCATCCACAATGCTTGAATGATAAATCTTTGTTGTTAATGTGTAGACCGGGCTATCCTTGGAACTCAGAAATCTACTTGCCTCCTGAGTGCTGGGATTAAAGGTATGGGCCACCAGGCCTGGCTTACTAAAATCTTATTAAAGGAACAACACAAGCTCTGTTATCATGCTATTTTATTAACATGATGCAGCCCCGGCTCCTTTTAGGGCCCAGGTAGAATAGACACAAATAAGAAAGAGCACAATTACAGTCAGAGCATTCAAATATTAGGCTAAAGGTCTTCAGCTTGGGGGCTAGTGTCTCACAGGAGCTCTGGAAGCACAGTTTCACCCAGAGCGAGTGGATGCCCAGTGTCACAATGAGTCCTGTCCTGCCCGGCATGCACAGCCAGGGATGGCAGGAGTGTGTCCCTGTGCAACGTGGGAGCACAGAGCATGCAATTTCTTCCAGGCGAGACACACAAATAAGTCATTTCTTTAGGGCTGGAGAGATGGCCCAGAGGTTAAGAGCCCTGGCTGCGCTCCCAGAGATCCCGAGTTCAATTCCCAGCAACCACATGGCAGCTCACAACCATCTGTAATGAGATCTGACATGCCTGCTGTCTTCTGGCCTTCAAGGGATACATGTAGGCAGAACACTGTATATGTAACAAATAAGTCTTCAAAAAACAATTTCTTTAGAAAATGATTCATAACGACGACCTCCCTGAGGAGCAAGAGAGCTTAATCTCTTCTGTTTTACTGCCTTTTCTTTTCACTTATAATAATTGGAAAATTAAATGAAAAGCTAATATGCACTGATGATCTGATTAAGCGCTGCGCAGGCACCGTGTGGGTGTCCAGTGTCTGTGGGCAGTAGTATTACACAGCAGTTCACTTACACAGGGGTTAAACGTGTCTTCGTTATTAGGAGATTCCTGACTTTCTGATTCAAAACCAAGGAACTGGCGTAACCCCCCTTTATCTGCTGGGGAGAAGGGGGGGGCAGACGGCCATACACAGTGAGGGGCTACATGGCTCAGGAATTAGGAAGCTAGAGAAGGTAGTGACGGCAAGGCTCTCCGTGGGCACTGAGTGAAGTGGCCATCGTGTTCCTGCCTCATCTCAGATAATCAATGGAGCCTCATCAAGGGTCAGATTAGCACAGCTTCCTCCTGCACGAGGACACGGACATCAGCTCAAGAGGCCTTCTTCGGGGCACTGAGGATTCCAGTCAAGACCTCACACAGAAACCGGCTAAATTACTACAACAGAATTCTGTAGCTTGTCTCCCACCCCCAGGGCTCAGGACTGGCCCCCTACATGGCTGGCAAAGCACTCGGCCACTGAGCTGTCTGCCCCTAGTCCCCAGCACTTTGGGGGCAGGGTCTGCGCGCCAACCTTTTGCCTCCCTGCCTTGGCTACCTGAGTGCTGGGGTTGTAGGTGTGCACTACCAAGACCACTCATTACAACTGCGAGCTCGCTTCAAGTTCTCTAATAGTTTGAAGCTGTTTTCCAGATTTATTTACGAGTATGAGTGTTTTGCCTTATTATGTGCACGTGTGTGTGTCTGGTGCCCAAGGACATTAGAAGGTGGTCTAGTCCAGGGGACCTGATAACTTCTTCAGTCCTCCTAGAGTACCTGGCACAACATGTGGGATATGCACATATATGCACTCAAAAACTCACATACATGAAATAAAAATGACTTTTAAAAGTCCCATTTGAGACCAGTTCTAGTGTTCTGTGCATGTGTACATACATGCGCAGGCGTGCACTTGTCAAGGTCACAAGGCGTCTATCTGCCTTCTTTCTTCAGACAGTCTCTCTCACTGACCCCAAGCTCATGGGCTGGGTATCCTGGCTGGCGCCTGAGCCCCTAGGGGCGTGATGCCTCTGCCTCCCAGTGCTTTGAGTGCACAGGCCATAAGACAGGGCCTGGCCTTTTCACACGGTGGGTGCTGGAGACTTGAATCCAGCAAGCGCTTTACCCACTGAGCCAGCTCCCCAGCCACCAGACACCTACATACACTTTGTCTGTCTGTCCGCTGATTTTTTTTTTTTTTTTTTTTTTTGAGACAGGGTTTTTCTGTGTAGCTTTGGAGTCTGTCCTGGCACTCGCTCTGTAGACCAGGCTGGCCTTGAACTCACAGAGATCAGCCTGCCTCTGCCTCCCAAGTGCTGTGATTGAAAGCCCAGCCAAATATCATAATTATTATGTTAAACATTTTATATAGGTTCTACTATTCCAAATATTATAATTATTATGTTAAACATTTTATATAGGTTCTACTATTTTCTCCATTAAAGATGAAGAAACTAGAGTTCCTAAGACTGAGTTAACTGTCCCAAACCTGACAGTGAGCAAATGCCTGCCGGCCAGTCTGACCTCAGAACTCGGTGATCTCCTGACTACCAGGACTCACACAGGTAGCAATGGCTAATACACCATGACACCAGGGACAGCTTCCCTCAAACTTGGTGGTAGATAGACATACTGCCCAGTTTCAGCCATCCTAAAGTTCACCCGCATCAAATCTGACATTCCTTACCGCACCGCGGACACGGCGCACGCACTCACTCACTCGCACAGTTCGCTTCCTGCCATGTGGTGTTGAAAAACTCTGAGACCGTCACAACTATTTGCATTCTGTCCGCCATCAGGAGACTTCTGGCACAGCTTGGGCTCTCTGAGGAATTCTGCAACAACAACAACAAAAGAAAAACGGGAAGAGATAATCTGAGTATTTAGACTTTCCAACAACCCCGAAAGCCATGAAACAATTAGAACATCTATCACAAGCCATTTAAGGTTTTTCTCTGATATAACCTGGTAATAACAACAGCAATAGTAAAAATGGCAGGAAGGCACGTTTCTGCCTAACATTTGTTGTTGCCAGGTTCGCGTGGGAAGGGAGACACTCTGCTTAACTGCTGAGCTGTCTTTTCCGGCCCATTTCACTTCTTGAATATTGCTTCTGAGTCAAGTTCAACTTCTTAATTTCACAACCTCTTCCTTTGTAAGCACGGGGAAATTACAGAACGTGATAAACAGGGTGTAGCAACAGTTATCTCTGGATGATGGAGCACATCAAGTTTTATCTTCACTTTTGCTTTCTTTCTTCAACTGTCAAAACTCTTTCTACAGTAAATGTGCTATTTATATAGCATTTTAAATCTGTGAGTAAGTGTTCACAAATAGAAAAACATGTCTTCCAGGGACGATTTATCGTGAAAGAAGCTTGTGCTACGCAAATAATAAACCCAGATCCTAACGCCTTGGACCTCAACTATTTCCTACATCAGCTAAGTACTGGGTCCCGGCCCTTTCCTCATTTCAAAGCAACTTAACTCCTACTGTTTGCAGGCTTTACAAGAATGCTGGGGCTCCGAGGATATGGGAGTGTCAGAGAAAGCTGTTACACTGTGCTTTAGGAATCTTCGGGCAAACTCACAGACAGGGACTGACACCGCGGGATGAAAGAGACTGAGTTAGGAGCACCGGGAACTGAACTGACAAACATGGGCACAATAAGACCATCGCTGCCATTCATTTGGGGAAGCTAACCCTCCCTCTATATGTCACTAAAGGGATGCACCTAAGAGAGCATTTACTTTTATTTGCTATCTTTATTTTTTAACATTTATTCATTAAATGTGGCGTGTGTGTGTGTGTGTGTGTGTGTGTGTGTGTGTGTGTGTGTGTGTGCAGTTGCCTGTGCACAGGCAGATGCCTGTAGAGGCCAGAGGCCATCAGGTGTCCTGCTCCACCTGCCTCTGCCTTACTCCCTTTAGACAGGGTCTCTTGCTAACCCTGGAACTAGGTTCAGGCTAGTGGACAACAGCTGGCAGGCATCTTTATCCCCCTCTCCCGCCCTGTGTCCCCCGGGTTACAGCTGCATGCAGTCACGCCTGCCTTTTCAAATGGGTGCGGAGGAATCAAATTATCACCTTTACGTTTGTACAGCAAGCACTCTTACCCACTCAGCCATCTGGTCAACCCTTCTTCACTCTTTCGTTATTTGTGTCGTTCTGGGGACCACACACGTGCTTGGCCAGCACTCAAACCCTGAGCTACCTTTTCAACCTTGCAATTTTCTCTTTCTTTTTTCCTCCTGAGATAGACAAAAGAAAGAAAAGAAGTACTTTCTCAGGGCTGGAGAGAGGCTTAGCAATTGAGAACACTGGCTGCTCTTTCAGAGGGCTTGGGTTCGATTTCCAGCACCCACGTGGTGGCTCACAGCCTTCTGTCACTCCAGTTCTAAATGATCCGGTGCCTTCTGCTCTCCATAGGTACCAGGCACTTGCAAGCAGTGCACAGACACACACACACATAAAAGTGTTATAAAAATTTTAGAAAAATGATCTGTTCAACTATGTTCATTGCAGCAGCATTTGTAATAGCCAGAACCTGGAAGCAACCTAGATGCCCCTCAACTGAAGACTGGATAAAGAAAATGTGGTACATTTACACAATGGAATACTACTCGTTGGGGGAAAAAAAAACCCAAAAAACAATGGAATCTTGAACTTGGCAGGCAAATGGATGGAACTGGAAGAAACCATCCTGAGTGAGGTAACCAGCCACAAAAAGACAAACATATTATGTACTCACTCATATATGGATTTTAGACATAGAGCAAAGGCTCACCAGCCTACAATCCACACTGCCAGAGAAGCTAGGAAACAAGGAGGACCCTAAGAGAGACATAATGGTCCCCTACAGAAGGGGAAAGGAACTAAATCTCCTGAGCAAATTGGGAGGGGGGAGGGTTTTAGGAGAAAGAGAAGGGGAGAAGAGGAGGGGGGAGGAGGACATGATGGAGCAGGAAGATTGAGTCAGGGGAAGAATAAAGGAGACCAAGAAAAGAGATACCTTAATAGAAGGAGTCGTTATAGGTTTAATGAGAAATCTGGCACTAGGGAAATATTCAGAGATCTACAAGGATGACCCCAGCTAACAATCTGAGCAATAGTGGAGAGGCTGCCTTTAATGCCCTTCCCCGATAATGAGATTGATGACTACCTTACATGCCATTCTAGAGCCTTCATTCAGTAGTTAACAGAAGCAGAAGCAGATACCCACAGCTAAGCACTGAGCCAAACTCCTGGAATCTAGTTGCAGAGAGGGAGGAGTGATGAGCAAAGGGGCCAAGACCAGGCTGGAGAAATCTACAGAAACAGCTGACCTGAGCAAGGGGGGAGCTCATGCACCCCAGACTGATAGCTGAGAAACCAGCATTGGACCAATCCCAGACCCCCTGAACACGGGTCTCAGTTAAAAGGCCTGGGCAGTCTGAGGAAGCTCAGATAGTGGAAACAGGATGTATCCCTGGTGCACAAAAAGACTTCAGGAGGGATACTCCCTTAGCCTAGAGACATGGGAGAGGGCCTAGGCCCTACCCCAAATGCCTTGACAGATTCTGATGACCCCTCATGGAAGGCCTCACCCTCCCTGGGGAGTGGATTGTGGGATGGAATGGGCGGGGGCCTGTGGGGTGTAGGAAGATGGGAGAGAGAAGGAACTGGGATCAATATGTAAAATAAGAAAAAAAATTAAATTAAAAAAAAAAAAGAAAGAAAAAGAATTTCGCTTTTTCTTTTTTTCCTTGACTGTAGAAAGTTCTTGAAGACTTTTGGAAAGACTGATTCAAAAGGCAGTGTGGGGAACACACTTACAGGTAATGACGTCTAGAGGGGGGATGTGGCAGGAAGACCCGTAGTGTGAGTGTGAGGAAGAGATGGAGGCAAGAGTAGGGATGGAAAGGAAGTTAACGAGGAGACGAGTGACAATGTAGCTCTCGGTGTCCTACGGCTTTATCCCACTCACTCCTCACAACCCTCAGACAGGCAGTGCCATCCTTCTGCACCAGAAGCTTCTTCCACTGTGTGGCCTCATGTAGGGCACTCAACCTCTCTGAGGCTCAGTTTCTGAAAAGCATGGCCTCTCCCTGTGTATACCTAGGTTTTCCATCTGGAAATCAATTCCTGTAGTTAAGAAACTTCACGTGTCTTAACATACAGCACAATGGCAAAACATGCTAGTCCTTGGTTTATACTTGAAAATATTAGTACCCTGATGTTCCATAACCATTTAGCAGAAGCCTAGATGTCAGGAATGCAAGCATCCACTTTCATCATGTGGATGAAGTCATCAACACAAACACACACACACACACATACAGACACACACACGCACACACACAGACACACACACAGAGAGAGAGAGAGGGGGAGAGAGAGAGAGGGAGAGAGAGAGAGAAACAGGATCACCAGTTCTACAGAAATAAAACCTTCCAACACAATCATACTGATATACTGGTTTCAGACTCTAAAACCCGTGGCCTCCCCCGCTAAGCCCACAGCCCCTAGCTCCCGCCCGATGCAGACTTGGGTCACAGGCCACCTCACTGACCTGCTCAATTCTTCCTAGCCTTCAATACAACAAACTCGCCCATCACAGATCCTCACACTTGCTGTTTCTAAACATACATTTCCTGATAGGACACAGGGTTCAACTCCCAATCCACTCCCCAGAAACCCATTAAGTCCTGGAGTACCCTGCAGAAAGCAGACCCCTGAGCTAGTCAACCCCACATCAGTGGCACAGCCAGCCACCAGGTGAACTGGAGAGGACCTGCACACTGGGGAAGTTTTCACACTAGGGGGAAGAGACCCGGGTTCCCACATTGCTGGTTATACCTGGGGGGCAGGAGGGTGAAGGAAGCTTCCACACCCATTGTGGAAACCTTCAGCTGGGCACTGTGGAGTTCCTTCATACATCATGACTCTAATTACTAGAGCTCAGGATCATTTGAATTTTTTTTCAAACCTCCTAACTCCGCAGAACCTACATACATGAGGAAAACGTCTGCAGTCTCACCCACGGTAGCATCATGATTCAGGGGCACTGTGCTAACAATAGGCCTTGTTATTTAAGACAAAAAAAAGGCAACTGGAAATTATGAAATTTGCAGGAAAATTGATGAAACTGGAAAATCTTAAGTGAGGTAACCTAGGTGCAGTAAGGCAAACACCACAGATTCTCTCCCGTATACACAGCCTAGCTTTTAATGTTAATACTTGTGTATTAGTGTGGGGTTTGTGTTGAGCGGGGGCCAGGAAATCAGAGGAGGGGCCACAAGAAGAGTTACAAAAAGAAGCTGAAGGGAGGCGGCAGGAAATGGCCACCTGTGACACAGGAGTGGAAGAAGGCTCACTGAGGGCGCATGGGGGGTGTAAATAGGGGGAGGGCGCAGGCAGGACATCGACTGCCCGGTGGACTAACCGTAGGAGTGACGCCAGCCTGTTACCTTGTACGCTAATTTAAAAAGTAAACCAGGGGTTGGGCTCAGTTAGTAGACAGCTTGCCAAGCATGGACAGAGCATGGGTTTGAGCCCCTGTACTGCATAAAACAGGTTCACAGTGGCCCACACCTGTAATCTCAGCACCTGGCAGGTGAAAGCAGAGGTTCAAGAGTTCAAGGCCGGTTTGGGGGATGTGAATTTTCATCACAAATAAATTAAAACAGAATGAAAAGGGAGCCTAAAGACAACTTACTCAGAGACAAATCAAAACCAGATATAATTCGGCAAAGGGCAGGGGCATTGAAGGCAGAGGCAGAGACGAGCCTGGGAAACACATCCTCTAAGCCTATTTAAACTGTCCTGGAAGCTGACTCTTTCCACAAAGACTGGCTCTGGAATTAACTTGGTGCAAATGAACCCACTTACAAAAATAACAGGCTTTGTGAATGTGAAGGAATATTAGGCTGGTTTAAAACAAGATGAAGCTATAGACAAATTTCTATCCAGTCAAATCAATTTCGACTTATAAAGCAACCAAAACCACAGGTTCATTAGACTGCTGGGCCCCTGGGTACAAAAAGAACTTTTCCATCTCCCAACTTCCGTGTCATTCCTGTTTTTCCTTTACCAGGCAACCCCGTGACTCTCCTTGGGCTGACAGTCTAACCCTTTCCTAGCGTTTACAGAACTCAGAGGAAAACTGTGGCTACCCCCTCCCACCCCCTTTTTTCCCCTTTATGATGTCCTTCACATCACCTTCCAAGTGACCAGAAAAGCTCTCCAAGTACCAAGAAGAGAAGGTAGGCCAATCACGTCCTAAAATTTCAGCCTCCACTGCCCCTGAGCTATTACCATGTGCCTCCCTTTATCTGTGGCTCCCTTCATCTCCACTTTAAGGATGAGGAAAACAAGCAGAGAGCGCCACTAACTTGCTCAGAGCACAAGCTAATAAACAAGCTAATAAACTCCTCCCTCACCAGCAGGTTCCAGATTGTCTTAGTAAGATGAATTCCCGTACCGCCACATGAAGCAACTGGGTTTTTTTTTTTTTTTTGGGTAGTATTTTATATCGAAGGAAAATAATCATGGCCACACTGCCAGAAATTGGCGGCCCTTAGTTATGTCCACTGCAATGCTCAAGCTTCTAATGACTAACAATTTCGAAAGGGCCTTTTCCTGGGACTAAGAACTGGGATGGGGAAGCAGAGACCCCCCCCCAAAAAAAGCCACTCATATCTACTGCAAATCGGTCCCAAGAAGATGCCCGCTTACAGCATGGAGGGAGGCAGCATTCTAAACCCCAGGCCAGGCCCCTGACGCCTGCTCCTGATACCCCAACTCTACAGACAGTCCAACCCCTTTTTCTTACTTTCCCAGACCCACGCCACAGGTGCCTGGGCTGCTCCTCTACCCACCCCGACGTTCCGGCTGATGTTGTCCATCTTGCTGGCGACCTGTTGGAAAAGCGGGTAGCAGGTCTGGCAGAGGCGCACGGGCCGAGCGCTGCGCACCAGACACCCGGTCAGCTCGGCGCTGCTATTGGCGAAGTCCATCAGCATCTCCTGGCATTCGGGCTCCAGATCCGGCAGGTCAGGGGGTAGCAGCGACAGCGGCCCCAGACCTCCGCCCTGCAGCAGAGACAGGGTCAAGTCCTGCACCTCCAGCAGCTGCTGCTCCGACAGGAGGTCCGCAAAGCCCGGGTGCCGACTGCTGCTGAACGGGAGCTCGCCCAGGGCGTACCTCCACCGCAGCAGCTGCAGCAACAGCAGCGCCCGCAGCCACCGCGACGGCCACGCGCTGCGCCGCTCCAGCACCGCGTCCCGAGCCATCCCCGGGCCGGCGGGCACCAGATCGCTCACCGGGATCTTCGGACAGCGGCCGCTTCCGGCTTCGGCCGGCGCAGGCCCCGAGTGGGGTCACGAGGTGCGTGCGTCACGGCCCCGCCCACCTGCCGCCAGAGGCGCGCGGGAGCGAGCTTGCTCAGCCGGGCCAGCAGCTGGGCTGCGGGGCCTCCCTGGCATCTCAGGCCTCTCTCCATCACGCTCCCGGCCCTGCGGTTCCCTGAGTTCTTTCCAGAAGCCTGCGTGGTTTGTTCCAGTCGCTGGACCGCGCGACCTCCTCCAGGGAAGTGTGTTTGGACAGGTGTTTATCTGCTGTCGGTTTGTGTGTGTTTCCTTCATCCTCTCTGGAGAGTGGATAGAATCTTTTGGCAGTTAATTGGTTTTTGAGCTTGTGGCTTGCAGGCTTTAATTTTTTTTTTTTTTTTTAATTGTCAACTGTCTACCCGTACAGAACTTCCTGCAGTGATGGCTACAGTCCACGACGTAGAAGGGCAGCCACTACAATTATAGAACTGATGTTTCTATTTCACTTACCGTAAATGTAAACATCTGCCTGGTGGCAACTGTGCACAACGTTTATCTGCGTAGAACTCACCAAGTTTGCCTGGAACTGAAGAGCTTCCGGAATGCCTCACTTTGTAGTGTGTCAAGCCCTGGGAAATCCTGGGCAAGCCCTTCAACCTAAGACCCTCTTTCATTTGATTTCACGCTCAGGGAGAGCTTATGGACCGCTCTAGCAAATACAGTGACAGCAGTGCAGGCTGCAAAAAGAATCTTCGCTCATGAGCTAAAAGACACTTTTTAAAGACAAGATCTCACTTAAACAACCCTTGCTGGCCTGTAACCCACTGTGTAGACCTACTGTCCTCAGACTCAGAGATCCACCTGCCTCTTCCTCACCAGTGCTAAATTAAAATCGTGCACCACCACCATGCTGGTCTGGGAAACCATTTCCTAACACGTGTCTGACGAACGACTTTGGTGAGATGTCCTTCGCAGCTGTCTGTCACCCAGCTTTCCAGGTTGAGATTATTGCTTTGTAAGTGCAGAGCCATTGCACTAGCCCTGTGGTAACTTAGTGTCTGAAGGGTTTTGGACTTTTTACCCAATCTGCTTGGTTAATGCTTTGTGTTCCTAAGTTTGGTTATGATTGCTAAATTTTGTTTCCTGTTTCTGTAGCCAGTGAACTGAATAGTAGGACAGATGTTTTGTGAAACAATAAATGAGCTTCCAAATTAAAAAAAGATGAGGTGTGTTCGTTTCCTCCAATACTATTACATAACTTTTATGTTTTTCATGCATATTAATTACTTTTCTGTGATAAAACATCATGACCAAGGCACCTTGTCGAAGAAAGTTTACTTATGTTTACGGTTCCAGGTGGCTGGAATCTATGATGTTGGACAAAGGCACAGCTGTAGCACAGGGAAACTGGAGACCCACATGTCAAACTACAGACACAGAATGAGAGGAAGCTTAGAAATCTCAAAGCTTGCCCCTGCAGCTGCCCAGGCCCCGCCCCAGCCCTGGCTCCTGCCCCTGACCACGCCCCTGACCACGCCCAGGCCCCCATGTGACACACTTCCTCCTGCAAGGCCAGAACTCCAAAATTTAGTCTGATTGTCAGATTTTTTTCTCTGAAAAATGACACAGAAAATTATTATTAATTATGAAAGCTCGGCCTGACCTTAGTCTGGTTCCTAACTAGTTCTTATAACTTAACCCATATCTTTAGCTCTATGTTCTCTTGTGTGGCTTGGTTACCTTTACTCTGTTCTGTCCATGCAGCTTCTGTTCCCTCCATCTGGCAACTTTTTAGATCTCCACCTTTCTTCCCAGCTTCTTCTCTGCCCCCAAAATCCTGCCTAACTATTCAGCTTTTTATTAGACCAATCAGAAAGCGTCTATTCCATAACTCCTAAACCTACCCAAACAATGGCACCAACTAAGGCTACTGGACAACACAACGCTCAGGCCACATGCAGGATTGCCTTGCTGGGTGCTGAGTGACTCACACCTTTCATCCCCGCACTGGGGAGGCAGAGGCAGGAGGGTCTCTGAGTTCAAGGCCAACCTGTTCTGTTCTGGGATAGCCATTACTACACAGAAAAACCCTGTCTCAAAAAACCAAAAATAAAAATAAAAAATAAAAAATAAAAGAATGTGAGTCTAGTTTCCTTTTTATTTTAATTTTATGATGTGCATGGGTATATTTATTGCCTGCAGATATGTCTGTGCAATATGTGCATGACTCGTGACCACAGAAGCCAGGAGAGGGTATCAGATCTCTGGAATTGGAGTTACAGATGGATGTGAGCTGCCGGGTGTGTGTGTGTTTGTGTGTTTGTGTGTGTGTGTGTGTGTGTGTGTGGTTGCTGGGAATCAAACCCAGGTCCTATGCAAGAGCAGCCAATATTTTTAATCACTGAGCCATCTCTCTATCCCCAGGAGTCTAGTTTCCTACCATCAAAAAAGAATTACAGGTAGGAAAAGAGAAATGAACTGTGTATTGTTTAACTATAGGAAACAGTGCAAACTTGAGGCTTAAAATACATAGAAGTAAGTATGTGTACTGGCTACAGAAGTAAGTATGTGTACTGGCTACAGAACTAAGTATGTATGTGCACTGGCTACAGAAGTAAGTATGTGTACTGGCTAGTTTTTATGTCAACTTAACATGAGCTAGACTTATCTGAAAAGAGAACACCACACTTGAGAAAATGTCTCCATAAGATTGGCCTGTAGACAAGCCTTTTGGCAGTTTCTTAATAACTGATCAGTGCAGGAGGGCCCAGCCCATATTTGGGCAGAGCCACCCCTGGGCGGGTAGTCCTGGATAATACAGAGAAGGAAGCTGGGCAAACTACAGGAAGCAAGCTTCTGTGACTTCTGCTTTAGTTCCTGTTCCCAGGTTCCACGCTTGAGTTCCTGCCCTGACTCCCCTCAGTGACAGATCATCACCTGGAGGTGTAAGATGAAACAAAGTCTTTCGGCCCAAGTTGCTTTTGGTCCTGGTGTTTTAGCACAGCAATAGAAACCCTACCTAACACATAGACTCGAACACACCCTACCTAATATATATTGAATTCTTTTTCTTTTTTGGAGAGAGAGAGTCTCACGTAGCTCAGGCTGGTCTCCAAAACATTAGGAAGCAAACTTGCCTTGTAGCATAGGATGCCCTTGAAGTTCTGATCCTCTTGCCTACCTGATGAAAATACCAGCACGCAACAGCTCACATAGTATTTGTGGTACAGGGCCTGGTGCATGCTGGGCAAACACTCTGTCTGAGATATAGACCCAGCCATAGTGTGTGTGTGTGTGTGTGTGTGTGTGTGTGTGTGTGTGTGTGTGTCTGTTTGTTCCATATACATGATACCGTGTTCCCCTATTGCAGTAAATAAGGATCAGGATAAACAAATAGGCCGAATAGATGTTTATTCAGGGAGAAATAACTTACAACCTAGACAGATGAACACCAGGAAATTCAACCCGATCCTCTCCTGTCCGAGTCACGCCAGAAAGAGAGAGCCTTTCCTGGCCCCCTCCGACCTCCTTCCACAGGTCACTTCCGCCCATGGCTCCACCCCCCAATGGGCGTGGTCAGTTCCACAGAAGGAGACAAAGTGAATATCCCACTACATTCCCCTTTCTGGGTAAGGTATATAAGAGTAGTGAAAAATAAACTCGTGGCATTTCAGTATTGACTGATCTGCCCTTCTACCTTTATTCTGTGTCTCTGTCTTTTTTTATCATCTATAGCTAGCCTTTCCCTCACCCACACACCCCTACTATGGACTTGGGTCTCCCCCATAAAGACAGCTCCCGACAATTAGACATTAACTGTGCTTGTGTAAAAAACAAAACAAAACAAAAACAGTGTTTTGCTTGTAGAAAATACAATGAGAAGTATTTCAGTACAAGGTGACATTCAGTCACAAACTGACCTTCAGATGACCCCAGGAAAACCAAATAAACAAAAACCCAAACTTTTTCTGTGCTTGCCACTTTCCATAGGACTGAAACTGAAGTATAGGAATATATATTTAAAATATTAGGATAGATACTAGGCATGGTGGTGCACACCTTTAACCCCAGCACTCAGAGGCAGAGGCAGGCTGCAGAGATGACTCAGCAGTTAAGAGCACTGACTGCTCTACCCAGGTTTGATAACCCAGCTGATGGCTCATAGCTGTCTGTTAACTCCAGTTCCTGGAATCTAACACTGGCCTCTGGTCTCCTTGGGCACAGCATGCATACCCACGGCATACAGACATACTCACATGCATATAAAAATAAATAAACCCAAAATAAGGTAATTTAATAAAAATGAAAAGATAAGAGTTTCTTGATTTGTCAGCTACTAGCAGGCCCAGAACATTGGTGAATCCTATAAAGCCTGACAGAATTCTCTATGCATATGCATATGCATATGCATATATATATATATATATATATATATATATATATATATATATATGCCCCCAGGTTGTTCTCTGGAATCCACATGTGTGCCTACCCATGTACACAAAATTTTTAAAAAAAATTATTTTAAGAGAACAACAAATATGTATCAAATGATTAAATCAAGTTTACAAGATCTGATTCTGTGGTGTTTGAGGAGTATTGAAATGAAATAACTGTAGTTTAGGGATGAGTCAGAAATCTCTCCAAGGAGGTCTTACAGGATGAGCTTTACATCCTGATCCACAAGGGGGAGAGGGAAGACTGGGCCTGGCATGGGTTTTTGAAACTTCAAAGCTGACTCAACCCACCCCACCCTACCCCCTGCCCTCCTCCGGTGACACATCTCCTCCAACAAGGCCACACCTCCTAAGTCTTCTTATGGAATGAACGGGAATTCCCTCTTCTTTGACCCATAATATGAGCCAATGAACCAACAGACTTGGATAACTGGGCAGATGATAGCGCCAAGGATAGGACTAGCGACACAGAAAAGGTACAGCATTTGGAATGACAGAAGCAGTGAATCCAGCTGAAGTTGTCAGCTCCAGATGGTTCTGGTTGGGACACC